TCAGTGTGTGTGTTGTGTGGTGTTCAGGGAGGCTCAGTGTGTGTGTTGTGTGGTGTTCAGGGAGGTTCAGTGTGTCTAGTGTGTGTGGTGTTCAGGGAGGTTCAGTGTGTCTAGTGTGTGTGGTGTTCAGGGAGGTTCAGTGTGTCTAGTGTGTGTGTGGTGTTCAGGGAGGCTTAGTATGTGTAGTGTGTTTGTGGTGTTGAAGGAGGTGCAGTGTGTGTGGTGGGTGTGTGTGTGGAGTTCAAGAATATTCACTGTGTGAAGTGTGTGTGAGTCTGCTCTGATTTTGAACAAGTGCAAGGTCTCCTTTAATTCCTCTTTCAATGACCATTGACCTTTTGGTCAGTGCGTTATCCGCTTGTAAGCAGATTCGCATGAATTGTGTAGTTGTTGCACACACCAGCATCAGTACAGCTGTGAAAGATCAACAGTGATGTGAAAAAGAAAGAACACTCCTTTATGAGTCTGAGGTTAGACATATTAAAACATATCCGACGTTCATCTCGTCCTCCCTGTGTCCCAGCAGTAGATAAATCTATCTTGACAAATAACGCACACAAATTTAACGTTGTCATTATTACTTTTATTTAGCAGCCAAAAGTAAGTAGCCTTACTCGGTCAGACATGTGAAACTATGGGAGAGGGTGTGCTCTCTTTTTCACATCAGTGCATCTGCTTCCAGTTCTGAAAGGTGTAACAAAGAAGCGATTACTTCTGTTTTAATTCAGTTCGGCGGCTTTTTTCAGCCTTGGCAGTGTGCACACAGACTCTGCTGTAGAGCATGTGTGTCATATCGGCACCTATATCCCCCTTGACGCTCACCTGTCTCTCTGCCTTTTCCTCTCAGAGTATGAGCTCTTCGCCTTCATCAGCCACATGGGCAGCAGCACGATGTGTGGACACTACGTCTGTCACATCAAGAAAAACGACCAGTGAGTAAATCACTTGTTTCTTCGTTCTTGCCTCGCGATGCTCAGGGCACGGCTCTTGGGGCTCACACAGCTCTGTTTGTGAGACTCTTCATGACAATCCCTGCTTATTTCAGTAAAGCCTGATGGGGGTTCAGTCTACTTTGTCAAGTGAAGGTGTTAATAATAATAATAATTAATAATAATTGCTTACACTTATATAGCGCTTTTCTGGACAATCTGGACAATCCAAGCTCTTTACAGGTCATGGGGATCCCCTCCACCACCCCCAGTGTGCAGCCCCACCTGGATGATGCGACGGCAGCCATAGTGCGCCAGAACGCTCACCACACATCAGCTATCAGTGGGGAGGAGAGCAATGAAGCCAATTCATAGATGGGGATTATTAGGAGGCCATGACTGGTAAAGGCCAGGGGGAAATTTGGCCAGGACACTGGGGTAACACCCCTATTCTTTTTGAGAAACGTCCTGGGATTTTTAATGACCACAGAGAGTCAGGACCTCGGTTTTACGTCTCATCTGAAGGACGGCGCCTGTTTACAGTATAGTGTCCCTGTCACTATACTGGGGCATTAGGACCCACACAGACCGCAGGGTGAGCGCCCCCTGCTGGCCCCACTAACACCTCTTCCAGCAGCAACCTTAGTTTTTCCCAGGAGGTCTCCCATCCAGGTACTGACCAGGCTCACACCTGCTGAACTCCAGTGGGGCTGCCAGTTGTGAGTTGCAGGGTGATATGGTGTTGTCAGGAGACTCCTTTAAAGAAGCGAGCCGCCCTGGAAGTCGAGGTTTTCCAGACAAATTGATTGGATATGTAGGTAAAACAGTGCGAATCAAAGCATGTTATGTTGCAGTTGTCAGACCTTTGAGATTTGTACAATTTTGGTCACCACATTACAAAAAGATATTATGGCTCTGTAATAAGTCCAGAGAAATACATCCCAGAGGTTTATGGGAATGTCCCAACACTAACAGGCTCAAGAAATGAACCTTTTAGTCTAGTAGAAGTTTTCAAACAGTGGCCTTCAGAAGCAACAGTGAAACACCACCCCAAGGACACAAGTTGACGTTGGACTTTTACAAAAGCTGTAGGGAAGTGCAGTTAAAGCAGGAGGCACTTCTTTTACGCAAAGAGTTGTGGGAGTCTGGAACAAGCTTCCCAGCCCCACTGGCAAAGCCGACTAACCAAACGGTCAGGTCTAACCTTATAAACACAGGAGTGACTTAATAAAGTGTGTCGGCCATCTCTAGTTAAGACCGCCTGCTGCAGAGTGAGTCCGAATTTGCTCCAATAAGGCGTTGTAGAGTTCAGGCAATTCTGTGAATTCAGGCAAGTTCAGATTCTTTCTGGAAAACCATACTCCCATGATGCTTTGAGGTAAAGAGACATTGTCAAAGTATTGCGTAGTGATTATTGGCACCCAAATATCTTCTGTCTACACTGACATTGGTCATTTTAACTGTGGTCTTGGTAAGGTCACCCCTTGTGTAATTGCAATATTGATTTTCCGATGGTGTCTGTTGTTTCTGTGTCCTGTAGGTGGGTGATCTTTAACGACCAGAAAGTCTGTGCGTCGGAAAAACCGCCCAAAGACCTGGGCTACCTATATTTCTACAGGAGAGTGACGGAGTAAAGAGAGACAGGGGGAGGAGAGGAGGCTGGGAAATACACTGTACATACACGGCACTCAAGAAAGAGAGGGGGGCGAGAGAGAGGTTCAGGGGTTACTGAGCTCTGAGTGGTAAAACGTCAAATATAAACACCGATCGCTCTGTGTGCACGAGTATTAACATCCTGTGCTCTTTGTTTGATCTGTTGAGCCCCGGAGCTCAGTTTGTAATAAATAAAAGAAGTCTTGAGAAAATCAGAAGCCTGAGGAAAGGAGTATTCCCTGTAGTTGTGGAAATGGCGCGATTGGTGATATTTAATGTTTTCTGATGTAAATGCCCATTAAACAGCATTATGAAGAGAGGTGATAATACACTGTACATGTCTAGCACTAGAGAGATGTAAAGGGAGTGGAGGTGAAAGGGTTAATAACCTGCACACCCCATTTAATAGAGAGGAGTTCACGCACTCCTGGAACTCCTGAAAGCACTGGGGAGAGATGTTAGTTCACTGTTTACAAAGACGCATGACTACTGAGAAACAACAGGGAGAGACGTGGGTTAATGTGGATCCAAACTCATTCTGTGAAAATTGAGGCGGAATTTCTCTGCAGTTTCCGAACAAACCTTGCTGCGCTGGAAGACACTGGCTCTCTGTCGCTCCCACTCTCTCTCGGTCTCGCCAATTACCCACAGTCCTCTGGCCTCGCGCCCTCCGACCCCTTCTCACCTTCCTTGCCTCTCCACCTCTGTGACATCATCTCCTGCCTCGACCAATTACGTCCCTCGGCTACCCTGGCTCCCGCCCACTCCAGGTTGTAAGACCACATGCTTGGCAGCTCAGAATGTTTAAAGTTAACAACAAAAGAGCAAATCAACATCAATTGAAATAAAAAAAGACTTATTAAGTAATTACAATAATAAGTGCAAGTGTTCCTCTGCATAACGAAGCAGTTCTCTGAGAAAAGGAAATGTTAACTGAGTTTTTCTTGCAAGACCATTAAAGATGAGGAGTGGATTAAACCTCAGCAGAGCTGAAGATTGAGTTTGTTCTGTGTGTGAACGTATGCAGTCCTGCCCTGCTCATGTATACGGTAATATAGCTGTGGTAAGTGTGACCGACAGTGTTTTTACTTTAGAGTGCTACCTTAACCCTTTCTGAATAGATTGAGGTGATAAAAGCTTTGGGTTTCTGTTAAAAACATATATACAGTCCCCTTTGAAAATACTGGGACAGTAAAGTCAGACATTATTTGTTCTTGACAGCCATGCAATTTGTATTTGTTATCACAAGAGTATGAATTTTAAATGCACTATGATATCTGTTGTATGTTAGGGGTAATTCGATGCAAACATTTGATCATATCGGAACAAAAACAACACTTTGTGTTCAACCCGGTGATTTCAAGTTATCATAAGAACTGGGACACATTCCTCTGGAAGCAGATTTCAGACTTTTGATGTGTATTGGAATTGCATGCCATCCGTGACCCCCTAGTCTCTGTGCACGGTCGGACGATTGAACCGTGTGCGAAAGTTGGAATTGTTTGACTGGAAAAGCAGATGTAGGAGTTCTGATCTTGCTGTACTTTAAAAAAAGAGACATCACTGTGCTTTGGGTTAAGCTGGAGGCAGGGCAAATGGAAGGGATTGTGATTTTTTTGTGGGAGTTCAACCAGTGAAAGCTCACAAACACCAGATGGCGCTCTGGCGTCATGAGCTCCGGTTTTAGAAGATAAAATCTTTAGTGTTTTTATTTTTTCCTGCAGGCCCGTGCTGTTTGTGCGAAACACTGATTTAAAGGGCCTACATCTCGATCAGTCCGTTTGACGTCTTTTTCTTTAGCGCAGAGCACTCCGACAGCTTGTCATTGCGGGTTGGCCGGTGTAACGGCAGTCCCCAGTTGATTTAAACACCTCTGCAAGGAAACCTCAGGCCTGAAGAGATTGAGCAAAGTATTGTCTCTTCCTCAAAATGAACTGAAGCAAAAAGTCTGCTCGAAAGCAATGTAGGTACTGTAATAACACATAGTAAACAGCTCAGAACTGGGGAAAAATGCTACACTCAAACAAGGTAGTAGGTAGCAATTCAATTAAAATATATACGGTATGGGTCACATGGTGGTACAGTGGTTCGCATTGCAACTCTGGGGTCCTGGGTTTCATTCTGGGGTGTGAGTGTGTGTCTGATATTGCAGGTCGAAATCGGCTTATTTACAGCTCCAGTTATCCACTCCCCACTAGTCCTTGAACATGAGTTTATAAATCCGGCGCAATTTCAGCTCCGCCAATCTTAACTGACCATTTCTGTCACTTCTCAAACAGCTACGAGCTCCGATGTGTTAAACACTAACAGGATCAGGATCGTCGCAAGGTCTTGTTTTGTCCTCAAGTCAGGGGCAAATGGGGGCTGGAAGACGTTGTGCTGGAGCTCCCTGCGGGTGTACTGTCATCATGGGGATGAGTTAATAATGATAATAATAATTCCTTACACTTATATAGCGGTTTTTCTGGACACTCC